ACGAAATAACAACAAAATGTAAACAGAAAATCGAAACAAATGGAAGAAATTCCAATCACATGTTTTATTTACAGTGTGGGGAGAAAATAGAGAAGTCTGTACATTAATTATTTTTGGTCGAGTTTCGACCACAGGACGACCACTAGTACACATAGTTTTATGCCTTATTTTGTTAGTGTACCTTATCGGAAAAAAGTGTGGCAACATGAATAGTATATTTTATTACTAGGACCGAAAGTTACATGAGCGAAGTGAAGCCGAGCAGGTGAGAGGTTTTTTTCATGTACGAGGCGAAGCTGAGGTCTGGAATAATGGAGCAAGAGCCGAAAAATCACTTTTGGAGAGAACTGTGCCAACTCATCACGACGTAAAAATACACACATAGAATAACAGACCTCAGACATACTAAAATTATTATATTTATCAATCATTTTTTAAATATCAATATAAGGGGAAATTGACTGTAGCAAACCTACACGACTTACAAATTGGAAGTACATGGTTATGTTTATTTTGCCGTTTTCATTGTTTATGACAATCACTCATTTGTTTATTAGTTAGTGATTTGATTCTTTAAACATCCACATCTCCTTTTTTGTTTGTAGACTTTATGATTGAAAATCTACTTCACAACTTATATGATTTCATATTATTATAGACGTCTTAGATAAATATATTAATTAATTTATACTTCGTCATTTATTTCATTTGGTTTAACATGCTGTACTTTGTACCTGGCCGTAAACTTTCTGTATTGCACTTCATATCTTTCCTGTGATATGTCTAGTGGAAAGTTTTTTTATGTATCTATGAAGCTATTTACATAAAATCATTGGGAATTTTGGACATATTTTGAGCAATTTCAAACACGCACTATGAACACACAGCAAAACAAACTCAATGCCTGTTTCTGTATACATTTAGGTTGTGCAACAATTGAAGCAGCTGATTTAAATAATATAAATAAACCAACAAAACACTAGCGTGTGTGGTGGGTAAATGGAGAACTAATCGATAGCGAGGGAAAGTTTATTTAGAACATCAGGTGTTATAAAAAATAGCTACTTTCTTTACGGAGTGATTAAATAATTGATAATAATTAATATTTATACCATCATAATCCATCATAATGTGACCTGTGAATATGATTACTCATAAAATGGCTCTCTATTATGTATCTCGTGGTTGACATTATTTACATAACATAGCATGGCAGGTTACAATACCAAGTTAAACACTGCACCAGATTACAACGAATGTAATCCAGTGTAATTGTGGGATCAACGAGAAATATGTTCCACGTGCTACTATTGACCAAATTGAAGCGTTATTTGTTCAAGCAGAGAGCCCCTTCAATAGAACCAATCGAGAAATACTGTTTTAAAAGGCAAACACCCGTAAAAGTTAACACTTTAAATTATTCATACATGTTAAACAATTACACTTAACACCATGTTAGTTAATTTTGGGATATAAATTCTTTACTAGAAACATATCAGATTCTCATTAAAGCTACCTAAAATAAAGGACTAAAATTGGAATTGTACCTTCTGTAAACTAACATATAGGCTTAATCAATTTACATGTTAAGGTCCATTTCCTATCCTGCGACTGTTACGACTCCAGTACGGCCGCGCGTACGGCTGGAGACGCTTGTCTCAATTCCTATGCCGCGACTCCTACGACTCCCACGATTAGTGACTAGTGAAACTGCACTACTGACCGTCATGGAATAAGCACAGTTGGCAGCGAATATATTACTTGGAGAAAAGGAGGTTAAGGAATTATTAACGTGCATGGTAAAAAACAATGAACAACCTAATCCATTGTTCATGGTACGGTGAAAATAGGGGTTTCAGAGAATTCTTATTCAGAGAAATCTTCTTCAAGTATTGGGGGTGAACGTATGGGTGTAAATTTGTTGTAGTTTGCCTGTTTAATGACATATTTAAATACAATTTGGTGAATTTGTTATTTCATGCAAAGCTACAAAGATATTTCAATAAAAAACACACTAACTATCTCACGCAAACCTACGTAGGCCCACTCATTAAAATTTATATTATTTAATAGGAAATAAATCCAATTTTAAGGGGATAATTAAGTAGAATTCCAGCCAAGTGAATGGAAATTCACTTGATCTGAAGGTTTGCTACGGCGGGGGTATTTATTATTAGCTAACACGTAAAGATTGTGGGCTTTCTATGGTTGCTGAATAATGATGTTAATATTTTGTTGTATTAACAACTACGTTAATACCTTCTGGGAAAAACGCATTCCCTAAGATTAAAAAGAGAACGGGAAAGGCCCGGTGTAAAGACCTTAAACAAAATATCGTATGGTTATCATCAACAACCCCATTTCACTCATAGTACGGAGACAATTTTTCGTCTGAATAAGTCAAATGAAATTAAATGGAAAATTATTTTTTCTTTGAGGCAAATCTAAGACCACATGACCCTTTCTTCCACTTAACCTGAGTGTTGTAGTTTGTGTGTAAATCAACGGTACTGTATCAGCAAACTGACGCACATCTTCTACCTGACAGTAAGACCGTGGGAGGCCTATTCACATTAGGCCCCTTAATTAAGTTGAGGAGGCCTATTGGATTAATATGCTTGCTCCGCTCAATTGCTTGCGCTATTGCAAGCAGACAACTGCATTGTTCACCTAGTACTGATTACGGGGAATTGTATAGTTTGCTAGAGCTATTATACAACCCTTGCTCAGGCTTCCTTACAAAGTATATGTAAGCATTTTATCATAACATTTAAATAGTATAGAACAAATACATTTTTATTTCAATGTATTATTTAGCTTCTCATGTTAGGAAGCAAATAAATTATACTCAATTGAAGATAATGCTTTTCAAAAAGAATTCAGATTTACTTACAAAACACACTTAGATTTTGAAGTGCGACGAGTTCAAAATATTGTATATTATATAACTAAAGACCGATTTTATATAGTTCTGAAATCATTGCTTACACATCAAGGTGGAATCAAAGCTTTCTATGTAAAGCTTTGTCGAAATATTCACCGACCATTGAGAGATAGCAATGCAAGTAAAGAGTAAAAACAAGAACAAGATTCCCAGAATAGCGTCAAATATATTGTACAGCACACTGGGAAACGTCTTCCATTCTTTGACGCGCGATGTTGGACTTTGCATTCAGTTACAAAGCCGTCTAGGCGAGTCTTTCAATCCATGAATAACTATGTGTTTGAAAAATAAAACTACAATAGTATTTTTATATATTTATTTATTCCCTCTCAACGGTTACACCATTTAAAAAATGTTCATTGTATGTGCAAGTGTGCATTTGAACTCAAATGTATTATGAGAACATTTATGAAAATGCTTAAAATGTAGCCCAAACAACGTATAACATGTACACTCTGGAATGTATATTGAATGCGACATATGAAGTGTCTGTAAGAGGATTATTAAACTAATTAATCGTACACGTAATTAAACGCAAACGCTTTAAAACGAAATCAAATTAACGTTATTGTAATTTTCAATGCCGTACTATCAATTACGGAAGAACTAAGCCTATCTTGTATTTCATTGACCTTTACCTCTTGTTTAGACCATTTTTAATTTGTTTAACGTAATTATGTTTTACGTTCATGATGTGCAAAAAATCCATTTCCTAATTATGAAGCGTGAAACAGGGTTATTTTGATTAGAATTCAACAATTAGAATGAAAATAACTCCCACATTTTATTACTCACTGCTCGAATAATGAAATCCCACAACCTGTTCAAATATGTGAAAAGATCAAAGCTTAACATTCATCCAGTTGTGAAATTACGTTTGGATTTAGATATTCAAAGTTTGATGTATTTATTACTTACATAAGCCCCCATATATTTTAACATTGCATTTATGCTGCAACAATTCACATTTCCCAATAAACTTGCTGATGTTTGCTATATCGTGACCTGAATACAACTCTAGTTACAAAACATAGAGATGAACTTTTTAATTTACTAACTAAAGTTGGATTGTGCGATTTGATCTGATAGTTCAGACGGGTCATCGACTCTCCATCCATCACACAGTCATTGTTAGGCTTACTGAGGACTTGACAAAAGCTTAAGCGAGACTAAACTTTGTCTTTTGTCCCAACTTTGACCCTCCTTCATAGAAACTTACTTATGGAGGATTAATACTTATAAAGACGTCAAAACTTTCAGATGGATCTATATTGCACTATTCAGATCAACAGAATTGTCTTTGAATATACATTATACACATATCTTGTAACTACCGCTTATGTTCTACAACTTTAAACTGTAAAAACTAGATATTCAAATCACATTTAAAATATAGTTGCATTATTAATAAAGTATAAAAAAACATAATGTTCATGCATGAGATACCAGATCTTAATTCTAGATGACTTTTTTACTTTGTATTCTTACTCATCTGGTTTTTTTTTCTATACAGTAGGGGCCTACTATCATTATATAGTCAATGGTACTATACTATACTATACTATACTTGGAGAAAACCCGTTTCCTATAGAAATGAATGCATAATTGATTTGATTGAAATATTTTATAAACACTTTTTCCAGGGTGTCTTTCTTAAATTATTTACAACCGTTAACACATAATCAGTCCACTCCGTCAGGCTTATACAGTAAAAAAGGACTGGCCACGGTGCGTAAAGCGAATATGATATCTGAATTTGTAATCTTTACCACTACGATTTTTCTATGGGCTATATGAAAGCTGCACTGTTCTTTTACCTGCTGTTCACGAATTGTATTCGAGTTGTACCTAACCCTAAAAAGGTTAGGTCAGATTACATTCTTTGAGCTGAATTGATCGAACATTCGAATATCTGAATCAGATAAATCCATTATTTATCTTGCTTCTAGTTTCATTTGATGTACAATTATTGATTCATTGGTCAACCCTTTATGTACATACGAACAATCTAATGATAAATATTAGATTTTATAGAAAGCTCCGTCTAATGTTGCAGGTGTACAGCCTGGACTATGGGTGACATCACAGTAGACGACGTGGCTTCATGTGAGCAGAGGAGTGACGCCGATGGCATTGGAAAACCGACAGAGAACAACAATATTGACACTAGTCCATCACTAGCTCAAACCTTTCAAGATCTAGGAAGTGCTCGCGAACAAAATAACCTCATCAGCAGTGATAGTAGGAAACCAAGTATTGACAAACGAGTGAGGTTTTCAGAGAAAATTGAAAATGTCAGTATAGATGAGTCGTCAACAAAAAACGACTTGAGTCTGCAGTCAGCCGTCAGCAGAGAGACCAGAGTAGTCTGGGAGATGATCACCGATGGACAGAAGGAAGCCGTCAAATGGCCTCACAAAGACTCGACCGCATCAACAGACTCCGTGTTCGTATATGACCAGCCCGAGGACGCATTGTCCGGTGGCAAGATGGTGACCGATTTGGACGAAGACGACGAACCGAATAAAGTCATCGGGGGACGAAATGTGTTCAAGAATTTACTAGAAGTGCGAAAACTTGAAAACGCGTCAGTTTCAGCTGGGGACGGCGGGTTGGAGGCGGGGGGTGGCGGCGCGGCGTCGCATTCTACTCACAGCTGCGGCTCGTTGTTCGCTCAGTGCGGCGCGCACCGTGGCCAGGGACACAGTCTGGTCACAACGTTCAGTCAGGGACGACTGAAGCACGTGGAGTCCGATGACACGTATGACGGTCCGGTCAGTCTGACGGAGATACTGCACGAGCGAGACGCGGAGCCGAGCCGCATGTGCCTCATGGGGAACGGAGTGTCGAACATTGCCAAGGGGGAGAGATCTCCCGAGGGTCCGGTGGCTGGGGCTGGGGCTGTGGCAGGGGCGGGAGCGGGGGTGGTGGTGGTGCTGAAGAACCAGATCAAGCAGTGGGAGGAGCGGTCCACGGAGCTGGGGGAGGAGGTGGCGGAGCTCAGGAAGGAAGTCAAGAGAAAGGATCACGAGATACTGCGACTGCAGAGGGAAGTCCACAAGTTAAAGGTACTCAAACTATATCTTACATGTAGTAAAATAACGTGTCAAGGAAAAGTTATACCTAGAACTAACACTGCAAGACAAACCAAAATAACGCATCCACAAATAGTTCAATCAAATGAATGTCTTTATTGATCATGCATGCACCATAATTTATTTAAGTTCTTCTTCGTGCTCAATCATTTATGCTATTTCTATGGATTTTTTCAAATAGAAGTAATTTACGATTGAACCGATCTAATTAATATGATTGTGACACAAAGTAGGACGAATCGTTAGTCACAACTTATGGAATTGTTTTGAAATCCAAAATAACTCTATAGTATTGCCAAAGGTGAATAGACACTTTACTGTTTGCCATTTTTAAGAGCCTTTTCTTACAGTGTTATTTATGTATCGGGAGATAAAGGACTCTTGGAGTACAACGAGGACTAACATGATGTTAATACAGTGTTATTACACTGCAAGTGAGGTGAAAATATTAAGTTTTACCATTGACTATATAGTCAATGGTTTAACCCAGTAATTTTACTGACTAAATAAGAGTTTATTTAAATAATAAATAGGTAAATTTGTAATGTTCCTTATACATATTAGTTCATTAAATGAACTTACTGGTACATTAGTTAACAACGATTATACAAAAATGGCTGTTCTTAGACAACAACACAACACCCAGGGGTAGCCAGGGTATTTATTGCTCACCTTAAAATATAAAACCTCACCTAGTTAGATTCTAAGGAACTTTGATTCTGGACTTAATACTTTAATCCTTTACTTTGAAACGGCGACTATACGAAAGTAGGTATTAAGAGCCAAGTATGGATGGAGATGGTTTGTTAGTGACTAAGGCTGACCAGCTGCACAGTACATGCCTACACCACAATTATATCCACAAATCGTTAAAGGCCATTGGGCTATCATTGATGCTATCTAACTCTAAAAAAAGTTTGACTAAGCAAAAAGACCAGGCTTTCGGTTGCCCCTATAAAAAGCGTAACAAATTCCAATGTCTTTAATAAATATAAAATAACAAAATAAAAAATATATAATGTGAACGAAAATATATGTTGTAAACGTTATTTGATAAAAAAAAGGCTTGAGGGTTTCTTCGTAAGAGAATTTGACAATAACATTAAGTTAAACGTCATGTAGCGTGACCAGACCATTTACCATTGCAAGGTAGTCGTCGTCGTCACAAACAGTACTACATTATATAGACTAACTGCTCACCGGGGACTCACTATAACGAGATACGTACTCATCGGCTCCCTGCACTGCTGAGTTTTAAACTGAAGAAATTAATCGCCAGAGAACAACGATACAAAAATCAACTCGATCAATTTTCTCATGCGTATTTCACGTGGGCAGTGATATTGCTTCACTACAGTAGCAGTACCGTAAAGTTGGCATTTCATGTCAAAGTTGTAATAAACAACTACAAGTAATACGTAACTACAACTAAGCGTATAAAAGAGAATTCTGCACTGAAATATATTTAATTTTTCTCACACTAATTTTTATATCGTTCCAAACTGAATTGTAAACTTATCAAAACCATAAAATTTACTTTCCTGTTGTGTTACAAAACTGAAAGAGTATGCCAAATTTCAATATTGTAGCGCACTCTTAGACAGGATCAACTCTGAGTTCATAATTGATTGTAAATGGGATTTAGACTTTAATCAACACTTGCAATGTTTCAAACATTTCCTGAGTAACATTGTTTAGGTTTAAGTTATTACACGATGAAAGTCTACATCTCTATATAAGTCTACATAAGTCTAAATTAAATAGGTGTAATTCTAACTATGCTGTTGCAATAAATCTGAATTTCACTAACGCAATATATACAATCACTATGTAGTTTTAAGTCAAAATTGGAGTCAAATCTATAGAAACTCTACACAAAACTAACAACTAAGATTATTTTCAGAGTACTGTAAGGTAGGTAACGCAATTGTCTGTTTACTCTAAAGGTCGAAGTTGGGAAACGACGATAGGTGAGATTGATTGCTTAACTCTGAAGTGTTAATTCAGGAAGTCTTTTATCTGCTGAGATCATATTCCCTGCAATCTGCATCCTTAATCAGTATGATTCATTTTTAAATTTCTGTGCATTAGGAATAATTTTGCAAATCCTCAGAAAAGTCATGATTTTGAACAGAAGCGTTTATTCATAGTGGAGAATTCTTAATTTTATGCACTTATTTTTAATTTGTTATGTCTTAACTTTACACTCTAGGACAATTAGTTCTAGCCCGGAGCTTGTTTACATATTTACTTCAGGCTAGCCCTACAGGGTCGCGGCATTATCACGTGGATAAACTCCATGGGGGATTTGAACCTGTCACCTCCGGCTCTGAAGCCCCCCGCTCTACCACTAGTATTATACTTGAAAAAAGTGTTACTCAATCATCCAAAAAATTCAGCTAGAAATGGAAACCTATTTTATAAAAAATAATTCTAGTTTCAACTGCCACTGACAATGAGGCTTGCTTGTAGACAATTCGGACAAACAGTTTGTGATTTTCTTTGAAAATGAAAACAATCGATTTCACAAAGCTTTATAATTTATAAATTAGGTTATTTACGTAAATATTTAACAACGCACACAATAATGGATAGGCACTTTGCCTCTGATATGATGATATTGCATTTTTCAAAAGGAAAAAAAGAAATATTACCATAGATGATATTACTATCTTAATTTGTTTTATGACGTACAAAGCCAAGCGAGAAAGTTATATTTCAACTCATTATTCTATTGTTCTTCACTTGTCGATTTAAGAATTTTAAAGCCCATAAGTTAAAATATGCAATAACCGAAAAAAATGCCCCTTTAAATTAATTTTATAATAAAATATAGATCAACTTGAAAAATAAATTTGGAAATATTGCATAATGTCACACAAGTCATGGAGTGGCAATATTCACTTGCATATCTCTCATATTATTGACCCAAACAATATACATATTACATGTATGTACAAAATACAGGCCTATGATTAACATGTATTCCAATTTACACAATTAATTAAACGTTATTATTTTTTATTTTTTGTTCTCTCAATGAGAATCTATGGCAGAACAAATTGACCATATTTAAAAAATGTCAGCAAAATCAGTGCAATAAAACATTTATTTAACCAATCAACAAAACCCTATTCATGATACACACCATCACTTATTGGAAACATTTAAAGTAAGAGCCTAGTGTCGTTAAAGTATTTAATACACAAGGCAATGTTATTTGTTTTAACTTGTGGGAAGCCTTGAACCATCACAGACTAATAAATAAAAAATTCAAATAAGTTATGTAAATATACATTTTTATGAATAACATGCCAACTTTTTACAATACAGCTTGTCAGAAATTCAGATTTAAGTTATATTAAGCATTGGCATACATATCTTAAAACAAAGAAAATAATTGCCCCAACACATGACTTAGGATTATGGAAGATATATGAAATTTTTAACATACTAAAAGGAAACAATATTGTTACTATTAATTATTTGTAAAACCGTACCTCGTGTATCAACATTATTATTGTTTAAAAACCCAAACTCTCCATCAGTTTATGAACAAGTTCACCAGATAGAAGGTAGGAAGATACTCGGGAGATGGATTGGCGATTAAACCTCTTACTGAAGAGATAAATTTGCAAGACTGAGTGATACTTCCATGTGCTCTAAGACATTTCTTGACTTATTCTTCAGAAAGTATATTTTGTTTTACCCTTACTAATATTAATTGACTGCTTATATTAAAATTATAACTTCCTGAGTATGTATTAAAATTTTATTGATATCGAGGAGATAACTTAAACTTGGTAGGTAGAAAATTCACTAAGATTTGTTGCACCAAGATATTAAATATTTTTGATCATCGTTATTGATTTTACAATATCGGCCAATTTTTGTGTGTCTTCTATGACAGAAAAATTGCTGATGAACCTTTTAATAAGGCTTTGTCTTAGAGACAATTTTCTCAAACTAAAGTTAAAAGCAAGTTAGCCACTTATATCTTGCCAACTTAACAATTTCAAAGAAATAATATTTGATCTTACTCCATTATGTTAATTTAGCAATTACAATACTTCTTTGTTTTTCTGTATGCCTTTTTTCACGTAACTCTAGCCCATTTAAAATCATTTCGTATCAAATTATTTTAAAATAAGTTTTTAAAGAAACTCTAATATTATTTAAATCCAATTTATAAATAATGAAAATAGTTTCTTTTGTACAAGTGAATTTCCTTCTATATAAAATTGTCTAATCTGTGCCAATGAATAATCTAAGTAGCACAATTTGTGGCAGCGGACATTCTCCACCTTATATTTAATATAAGTTGACAAAATGAAGATGATCTAGAGATCCATTTAATTACATAAGTTTGAAATTATTCACAGATTTATTTGTCAATACCACATTAGATTTAAATTATAAGTCAACAAATAAAGATGATCCAGAGATCCATTTAATTACATAAGTTTGAAATTATTCACTGATTTATTTGTCAATACCACATTAGATTTAAATTATAAGTCAACAAATGAAGATGATCCAGAGATCCATTTAATTACATAAGTTTGATAATTATTCACATATTTATTTGTCGATACCACAGTATATTTAAATTATAAGTCAAGAAATGAAGATGATCTAGAGATCCATTTAATTAAATAAGTTTGATAATTATTCACAGATTTATTTGTCGATACCACAGTATATTTAAATTATAAGTCAAGAAATGAAGATGATATAGAGATCCGTTTAATTAAATAAGTTTGATAATTATTCACAGATTTATTTGTCGATACCACAGTAGATTTAAATTATAAGTCAAGAAATGAAGATGATCTAGAGATCCATTTAATTAAATAAGTTTGATAATTATTCACAGATTTATTTGTCGATACCACAGTAGATTTAAATTATAAGTCAAGAAATGGAGATGATCTAGAGATCCATTTAATTACATAAGTTTGATAATTATTCAC